GGAGGTGGGAGAGGAGGGGGGGGGGGGGGGGGGTGGATGGAGAGGAGGAGAGCAGGAAGATGAGGAGGAGGGAAGTGAGCAGTAGACGAGGCAACTGTGAGGATGGGAACCTTTAGGTTAGCTTCTATGCAATGGGAACTCACGAGTGCAATGGGAACTCATTGTCGAGTCACGACTGCAATATTGAAGTCACTTTTGAGAATTCTGAAAAGTGATTTCAAAAGAGAATTCCCAAAAGTGGTTTCAATATGGCAACTCACGGCAGCAATGGCGACCCCAAAGACCATCATGGCTCCGCCCATCCACTGCGCTCCAGCAGCGGCTGCACCACATAGCGCGTGAAGTCCGCACTGGGGATGGGAGGGATAGGGTAGATGGGCAGGATGGGGGAATTAATGGGCGGGAAGCGTGGATGGGGTAGATGGGGGGAGGAGGGAGACAAGGGTGCATGGGAGGAGGGAGACAAGGGTGCATGGGAGGAGGGAGACAAGGGCGCATGGGAGGAGAGGAAGGATGGGGTAATCAAGGCGGATGGGGTGGATGGATCATGCATCACACCAAATCTAAGCAGCCTGTACAGACAGGGTACGAGCAAGCATGTATCATACCTGATATAAGCGGCCTGCAGTCCTGAGTAGAAGAGCAGCGGAATGAGCAGCAACAGCTTTGGATCAAAAACCAGTTGCCACGCATCCCTCCCCTCCCCCTCCTTCCTCCCCCCGCCCACTGTCACGACCATACGTCTCGAGCTCGCAGAACCAGATAAAGTGTGCCGGCCAGATGCTGCAGAAGCGGACAAGAAATGCCGCTGTGAGGAGAGCGTTGCAGAGGGCCGGGGCATGGTGCGGGAGAGGGACGGCACTCGGACCGAAGCTATGGTTCGGCCGGACCTGGAGTTGATGGTCAGGTTCGAGCTTGATCTGGTTAGGCGCTGAGAGGTAGGCACAAGGTTTGAGCCGAGGCTGGTCATTCGCTTTGAAAGTATGGTCCGCTGCGAGGTAGGGTGCAGTTGGGATGGGTTGCGTGGGCTCGATGAAACACAGGCGGATTCAGCAGGATGGTCAACACCCCTCCCCTCTCTCAGCCCACTCCCCCCCTTCTCTCCCTTCCCGTCGCAATCTCCGCTCTGCTCCACCTCTCCCTCCTCTTCCTTATCTTCCTCCGTCCCTTCATCCTCCCCCTCCTCCTCGCTCTCGTCTTCCTCCTCTATTACTTCCATTTCCTCCTCCGCCTGCTCCTCCATCTCCTCCCAATCAACGGTGAAGATTGAAAGCGATCGGGCGGATGAAATCGACGGACAGGGAGCCAGAGCAGCAACACAGCGCTTGGAATTCAGGGTGGCGTCGTCCACGTGGCACTCTTCTATTGGTTTGAGATCACGGAGGAGCCAGGAGAGCAAGGAGCCTATAACGAGGCAGATGCAAAGCACAATAATGAGTATGGTGACGGTGCTGGGAGGAAGGGAAGATGAGGAGGAGGAGGAAGAGGAGTAAGAGAGTTGTGAGACGGTGAAAGTGATTGCATTTCCAATAATTTGATTAAAGGCGAATATTCCGCCAAAGAGGGCACTGAATTCGGTAACCACGGCATCCATAGGCTTGTTGTAACGCTTACTGTAGACGCCTGCAGCAGCAACGAGGTACACTCCCTGCGTAGCAAAAACGAGGAGGCTTGTACAGGGGATCAGTTGTCGAAGAGGAAAGAAATGGCGAGATGTTACGAAGGCAGATGGGCTTATGAGAAAGAAGCAATCATGACGAGACTATGGTATTTCGATAAAGCAACTATGGGAAATGAGAGAAAAAAGAAAACGACAGTAAGGCCATGGTTGAAATTATTCAAAGCTGCTGTGAGAACAACAACGCACTTACGAAAATAAGACGGAACAGAACGAAACAAGCTCATCTTACGTGCCCATCAAAGAGCAAAAGCATAGCAGCTAGGAAACGGGATGTAGAAGAAGATTAAGAGCGTCACCTGCGCCACCCAGACGACAGACCAGCAGACTCCGAGGTAGCACGACGCGAGCAGAAGCAGCCACCTGCCACGTGGCCACGAAGATGCATTGGGGCGGGACGTGGGTGCGGGATAATGGGGGTGTTGGAAACGCGTACAAACGATGACTTGCGTTTAATAAAAATTGAGAGATTACACATCTCCGCTGAGATGGGAATAATGGTTGGCAAACACCAAAAGCATGGGGAGCATTTTCACACTGAGCAGTCAGTTGACTTTGCCCGCCAAAAATACACTGCTGTAGTGAACGAGTCGCTGAGCGAGAGACTACTAGTACACCCCCACACGTAACGCGTTGGATCCGATAAAATTTCAGAAAGAGAGACAGGGACAGAGACAGAGAGACAGGGGGAATACACTATCACGCACTCTATAGTGAACGCGTTGGACCCGATAAAAGCCCAGAAACCCGTCTGCGCGACGAGGATGGCGGCACGCGCGCGCCAGAAGCGGATAGGGAAGGGCGAGAGCGGCGCGGAGACGACGATGACGGCGTAAAGCACGCCCATGGAGAGCGCGCCGATGTTGCTCGCGCCGTGGATGCTCGTCGCGACGTTCTGCAGCGCGTTGAACGCCACGAAGAAGAAGAGAAACGCCGTGCTCATCAGCAGCACGTCGCGCCGCGACCACAGCCATAGCCACACCCGCGCCACAGACCCCGCCGGTGGCCGCGGCGGGGGAGGTTGGCTTCCACCTTCGCTGCCGCTGCAGCCGCCTTTGCTACTACTGACGTCAGATGTTGGGGGTATTGTCAGGGCAGTCGCCTCTGTCGCCGATTCGCTCGCAGCTGTCGCATTCGTCGCTGCACAGATGTCGGCGATGGAAGGCGGTCGTCGCCACCCGAACCTCCAGCGGCTGGGAAACCACTGCCGGCACGGCTCGGCTCCCGGAACGTTCTTCGCATCTGCCGGCGCGGCTTCCGCGCCGTGTTTGCCGCTGATCTCCTCGTCGAGCCGATGATCGCGATGCAATTCGTCGTCCGACATCGCGACGCGGTTCGACGGAAAGGTCACCTTTCTGCGACGGTCGCGGTCGCGCGCTGACTCAGGATGGACTTGGAAGACTGATGTATCACGTCTGCGTCCGTAAACTCAGGACGGGCCTACTAGGGACAGGATGAGTTAGTAACTCACCGACTGAAAGCAGAAAAAGTCTTCCTGTCTCACTCACCCAGGTCCGGAAGACCTTTCTAAAGTGATTGAACCGACTGATCCGATCAGTCCTTCTACTTTTGACTCGGTGCAAGAATTTTCTTGGGTTGATTGAAATAGCCTGATCTGACTGGGGTGATATGCCGCGTAGATACTACGGTGATTTAACAGTGACTTTTGACGCCTCCCGCTGCAAGAATGTCACGTAGGTGCAGCGCAATAGGCGGGATAATGTCGCAAGAAGAGAACCTTTCTTTCAAAAGGAAATGCGAGAGGAAGTCACTACATGTGACAGATAAGTAACTCATCAACTTCAAAAGAGGCAATGGAAGGCTGTCACGTTTTGTGCTCTGTCATTACTTGGTTGCGACAGCGGCGGCAATAGCAGCAATCGATTGCTGTAAGTGATCTTGCCAAACCTGTCGTTTACTCGCCCGAACATCCCAGCGCAATTCGGATCCGAGAGGGGTCGTCCGGCCCGAGGCTGGCGATGCGGGGAACTGACGCGCGTGCGGGCCCGCCAGCCTGGCCCAGGGCTGGGCCGAGCGCACGACCGCCGCCCCGCAACCCCAAACCGAAAATGAACAGCACCCCACGTTACCGGATGGGGACGGCGAACTACACCTGTTATCCGATATTTCCACACCCCGTACCCTCATTTTTCCCAGACACCCTACACGGTTTGAGGTTCGATGAGACGGACACCCTGACATTGCGGGTCTATCAGTAAATAACCATCAGGTACCAGCCTTTCGAAACTCAAACTTTGCAATCCGAGTGAGCGGGAAGAAGTCCAGTGCCATACTGTTCCTGTGTTAAGCTCGCATTGAGATTGTGTCACATTAACCCCGGAAATTCAGCGAGCGTTGCTAACTACCTTCGAAATCAGTTTTTTCGAGGGTAAGTACCCCAGGGCGTGAAGATAAAGGGTGTGGAATTATCGGAGAAAAGGCGTAGCGTCCCCCTCGCGCGAGGGAAAGTAACCCTAGCGCGAAGGCAGCCCTCCCGTACCTGCTGCCCGCGAGGTCCTAGTGACCCTCGCGACCTGCCCGGACGGGCAGGCGAGGGCCAAGCGAAATTCGGGTGCTCCCATCGGAACACTCAGGAGTTCGCATCGCTCGCATGCGAATTCTCGTACCAGGCAAAATTCGAGAGCTCGCCGTGCGATGCACGAATATTTCGCGGCACGTGTCGGCCGAAACTACGCATCGCACGCATGCGAAATTGCGTCCCCTGGCCGACCTGAGCCAGGGGACGTGACATTGATTTGCTGGCTCGACGGCGAAGGAGCACTTGTGCCACTTGTGCATGTGGCCGCCAAGCCCTGCCGAACCAGGCCCCACAACCTTGGGCGATGCCCAACCGGCCTGCGGGGCACCGCCTCCCTTTTCTTTGTGGAAGGTGGCCTCGCTCCTCATTTTCGCCATCTCGTTTCACTTTCGACCTCCTTAGCTCCGCGCCTTCCTTCCTTCCTTCCTTCCTTCCTTCCTTTCCTTCCTTTCCTTCCTTCCTCCTTAGCCATTAGTTGCTTCCATTCGCCGTCATGGACTCCGACCCGCCCGCCGCCGACGTGGTGCCAACTTCGCAGGATTTCCCTTTGTATATCGACATGGGTAGTGTACTCTCTATTACTCTCGATGAACACGACTACGCTGTCCTCGTAGACCATAAGAAGGAGCTCAACACCAGTTGTTCGGGACTCGGCCTCAAGTGAGTAGTGTATGTAGTTGTCGACGTCGACCGTTAGTTACCCACTGATCGACGCAGGGTTTAGGGCAAGGTTTTCTAGGGCTCTGGGAACCTCGTTGACATCGCTAGTCGGCGCCGACTTATGATGTTTAAACTCTGCGCTTGTGCATAGAACTCCGACGTGAGGGGTAAAAACTGACTCCACTATGTAGTCAGCGTAGATAACCACACCGGCACAGTCTTGTACACCACGAATTGCCATGTAGGTGGTGCCCTGTTGTGGTTTTGCCACTCCCGTCAGTCTGCGTTCACCCATACATCGTATCCCTCATAGGTTGACGTCGACCTGGTCGTGGCTACCCCTCACGTGCCTCTTATGCACCTTTATGCATGCAGGTACGCTTGGCTTCGCACTGCGCCGGACAACACGCGATTGTGGTCGATAGGAGTCGGCTAGCTACGCGCGGCGATAAGTAAGACCGATCACAATTGCTTTGCGATGGTCTTCAACGCCCATGTAGCCGTTCTCCCCCTGATATCGAGGTGAGTTGGTTCGAGTTTGTATTTTTCATGATGTCGCTGCAACCTATGTTGAGATTCGACTCTGAACGACGTCGGCGTGGCTTGCATGTGCAGCATCGCACCTCTTCCAGCGGAGAGTCACTACACAATGGGAGTGGACTACGGAGGAGGGCACGGGGTTGTGCGAGTGATCGTAGCGCTCTAGTAGCGTTCTTACTGCTTGCTATGTTCACTGAGAAGTTTGGCAAGAATTCCACTAAGGAAGTTGAAAGAACAATTTGCATTGAAAAGTTGATAGTACAATTGAGGCATGCAGAAACAAAAGATATGACTAGAATGGCATGCAACACCTAGCAAGGGCGAAATCTGCCAGCGCAGCAGAAGAGCGGCTTGCCAACGCTGCAGCAGAGTGGTCTGCCAGCGTTGCACTGCGCGCGATCTGCCAGCACTTCAGTCGCACGTGACTATCTGCAGTTGCAGGTAATTATCTGCAGTCGCAGATTGCATATCTGCGCAGATGTGCGCACCTACCAAGTAGGTGCAGGTTGGCGGTTTCACCGTCAGGCACATTGCGCAGGTGCCACGTGTCGTCGGTTTTGCCAGGTGCGCACCGCCGGCCACGTGATGCCGTTCCGCAGGTAGAACTTCGCCAAAACCTCCTGGGCGAAGTTTCGCACGCCTCCGCAGAGTTTCGCATACCTCTGCAAGTTCGGTCGGACAGCTCGACGCTGCTCGGTCGAACAATGTTCGCCGAGCAGAGCTCCTCGACCAGAAACTCTTCGACCAGCGCTCCTTGACCAGAGCTCGTCGCGCAAAGTTCGTCGAACGGAGCTCTTTGACCAGAGCTCCTCGACGGGCTTTCTCGACCGTTGTCTTCGACCAGTGCTGCCTGTCGACGACGTCGACCAGATTCCGTCGAGCAGAGCCTGCTCGACCACTACTTCCATCGAACTGCAGAAGCCCGCTTTGTCGACCAATCCATCGCGAACTTCTCGTCGACGGCGAGATCGGTTGCGCTCAAGCAAGGGCGGGGCCATTTCCTTCGATACTCCCCTGTCGCGCTCGCGTTTGGGCACCCCACGCACAAGGAGAAAAATCTGTTTGCGTGCACCCAACAAATAGCACACAAATCACCGCACCAGCCGTGCAGAAGGGCACGGCACCTACTGCTGCACCTCGTCATCCCCGTCGCCAATGTCGGCCAGACGCACTTGCCCGATTGCGACAGAGGACGTGCTGAAGTGAGCTCGACCGCCTCGTCCACGACGTACACTATTTCGCCGCCGAGGGTAAACCATGCTGACAGACTTTCCGTGCCCTGTTGCCTCAGGTTTTTTCGCACGGCAAACCTGGAAGAGCTGGGGCACGATGGTGGCGGATAGACTCGCCAACTGCGATCACCCTATTCGCAATGTGAGGACCGAAGGACTTGCCCTCCTAGTTATTGTCACTTCGTAATGTTATTTTCACCATGTCGCTCTGGCGTGCTGTCAGTGAGCGATGCCGACGTCGCGATATGCCGGACTTGCTGCCGATGCCTGCGACGACGACAACGAGGATACCCCTACGGCATCCAAAGCAGGCGATGTCGAACGCCGCATCGCCGATGCGCGTGCGACTTCGAACCTACAGCTTCGAGGCGGCGTCGGCGAGGCCGAGGCGGAGGCGGGAAAGGGGGTGGCCAGGACAGAGCAGCAGCGAAACCAGAAGGACCAGGAGGATGATGAGGACCAGGGGGAGGAAGAGGAGGAGGAGGAGGAGGAGGAGGAGGAGGAGGAGGAGGAGGAGGAGGAGGAGGAGGAGGAGGATGAGGTGGAAGAGGGGTCAGAGGAAGAGGAAGAGGAGCAGGAGGAGGAAGAGGAGGAGGTGGAAAAGGAGTCGGAGGAGCAAAGTCGGCTAAATCAAAGGTGACGTTGCGGTGTCCTCCACGCTCACTGCACCATGCGGGAATAACTCTAGCAACGGGAGCTTGACTGCGGGGAAGGCACGTGTGTGAGAGGGATCTCTGCGTTCGTTCCTTAGTCGTTTGCTCGTGTTCACACTACTTGCGCATTCACGGGGAAATTTGGCAAGAGTTCCACTAGCAAAAGTTCACAACAATGATAGCAACAACGTTGGCAACACAGACTACATCAGAGCTAGCTAGGCTGCTGGTCGACCTCCAGCGCAGCACGGTCGACCGCGTTCCAGCGCAGCAATGCTCGCATCGCTCCAGCGCTGCAGAGATGCGGTGCGCCAGCGTTGCATGTCCACGGTGTGCCAACGCTGCAGCAAGTCGGCTGCACAACGTTGCACCCGCAGGACAACGGTGCACCTGCTTCGCAGGTGTACGCGGCTGGTTGGCGTCCAACGTCGACCTCGGGATACCACCCCCGAGGTCGTCCTCGCAGAAACCACCTCCCGGCGACCTTCGCACACGTCGCCCGGGTATCCCGGTCGACCGGGCAACCCCGCCTGGTCGTCCAGCCCAGTCGGTCGCCAGCTATGCCAAGCCCGGCGTCCCCAGGTCGGCGTCCACTCGCCCAGGACGCCGTCTAGGTGCCCAAGTCGGCGTCCAGGCGCCCGGGACGCCGAGCAAGCGCCCAGGTCGGCGTCCAGCCTCCCAGGACGCCGAGCAGACGTCCAGGACGCCGAGCAAGCGCCCAGGTCGGCGTCCAGCCTCCCAGGACGCCGAGCAGACGTCCAGGACGCCGAGCAGACGCCCAGGACGCCGCCCAGACGCCAAGGACGGCGTCCACCTGTTCGGCGCCCTCCAGCCAGGCGCCCCCCAGCTCAACGCCCTTGCAGTGGCCCCCGTACCCACTGCTGCAGGTCGGCTGCATCCCCCGCACACCCGACCACGAGATCGGCTCCGCCCAAGCGAGGACGGGGCCAAACACAACTCCCGTTGGCAAGTACTGTGTGTACTCAAGTTCAGGTGATACGCTTCACGACGTGCTCTTGCCGGCCATCTGGTTCCCCATTGTTGCCGACACGGAGGAAGGCAAGGCGAAGACGGACGCGTCGATGTCGGCCATGATAAATCGCGTGTCCATGTGCGCGGCGTTTGGGAAGGTCGCAGCGAGCGCGACGAGGAAGGCGGGAGACACAGATGAGAAGACGGAGATGGTGGCCAAGACGTTAGCGGCCTCTGTTTGCGCCGTGTGGTGCTTCGTCGAGGCCGACGACGCCCAGGTGCTCGGTGCTGTGGTGCTCGGTGCGGTGATGGTGGCCGGTGCGAGCGAGACGACTGCCGATGTCTTCAAGGCGGTCATGGAGGCGGTGTTGGACGCCGAGATCAATAGGGAGCCACCCCTAGGGGAGGTTGCTCACAACGTCGCGCCGGTGCTGAAGAGTCTCGCTCTGCAAAGGGTCTATCGTGGGGGAAATGGGGGAGTCGATGCCGACATGATCACTAGAGCGATGGTTGAGACCCTGGCGTTCTGAGGAATGTGCCCCATCGCCGCGCCGAAACTCGAAGTGATCAGTATCGCGGTGTCGTGTGACGCGCAGATGGAGTATGATCTCGACCACAGGGGGCGGAAGGGGCAGAAGGGCAAGCGGGGCAAGGACAGCATGGGGAAGAAGGAGAAGAAGGGCAAGGACAGCACGACGGAGAAGTCGGCGGGCGGAGGGAGCGATAGATGGCCTGCTTGCTAAGGTGTAGTGCTGTATTGATCTGCGCCGCTTTTGTATTTCCTTTGTCGGAACAGTTTGATGCGAATGTTAACTTTTTGGTGTGCGTGGATGTCGACTTTGTGTGGGAGGTGAAATGAACCATTGAACACTAACATTTGGCCACAATGAGTCCGAATGCTAGGCGTCCATGCAACCCGGCCTCTTGCTACCCCGTTGTTATGCGCGTCGTTGTCGGCTCATGGTTGGCCGTCACATGCCCATATTCCAATCACTTCGGCGTCGATGTAGGTGTCCTACTACATGGCGGCGTAGTTGGCGGGAGTTGTGTCGGTCGTCGAGGAAGGCTACTTGTTGGGTCTACCGGTTTTGTGTGAGCGGCACCGCTGACGTCTGTGTTTGAGTTGTGTTCTTCGAACAACTACAGGAACAATGTATGAACATAAGACGCCCACGATCATGCTACATGTCCATTCACGTTCACTATATCTTAATGCAGTTTAAGTCGACCACGCTTACATCGTGCAAAAACAATATCAGAACAAGGGTTTAGGGTGCATCGACCACATCTACAACATGCAACACCCCAAAATAACATGTTGCGAGACCATTCACGCGGTCTTCTTACGCTTAACCTGTGTCTTGGTCGGAGGCCGCTGCCCAGCGGCGTTCTCGTTGGCCATGTCGGCCAAAGTCTTCACCATCTGCTCCTCCCAAGTGTCTGGAAACATGTCGACGACCCACTTTTCCAGCTTCAACCCGTGCGCCACAAGCACACACGCGACACGTAGTTTGGGAGCAAATTCCGTCTTGCCGAGCCCCTTGACGCCCTTACACGACTTCTTGGAGTAAGTCGGTACGGTGTCCGGGTTGAGCACCGTGAGGGCATTGGAGAAGGTCCCAATGCCCGGCGCCGCGATCTTGTTAAGAGCCTTGACGACGGCTTTGGTGTCGGCCTCGCTGTCGCTCCGGCAAAGAAGGCGCACTGCATCTATGACCTTCATCATGTTGCGCACCCTCTTGTCGTGTGCTCCCTGCGTCGCGTTGGCGGGCGCTTTCCCCCACGACATGGGCAACACGCTTGCCGAGCTCATGCGTCAACTCGAAGAATTGACGTTCGAAAATCGTCAGGTACGAGCCGAAATGCAACAACTTCGCAATTTGGCTTCTAACCCCCATGGCCTTGCCGCACCAACTCCTGCACCCACCACGTCGACTGGCGCGGAAGCGCTGCCGGAACGTCGAAGCGCGCTCAAGCCGCAGAAGCCCGAGTCGTTCGACCCAAGTCAACGCGACGCGAACGTGCGAACGTGGCTCTTCATGCTCAACAATTACTTCGCCGCGAGCGGGGTGCAAGAGGCGGACGCGCAGCAGCGGATCGAGTACGCCGTAACACTGCTGAGGGGGCCGGCCTTGGAGTGGTGGCGCCAACTTACGCAGACTGCTGTACGGAGGGCTCAGTTAGACGGGCATCAACAGGGCGTGGGGCATGCAGCTGCAACTTCGAGCTTAGGGAGTCTAGCTTTGGGTGTTACCACGGTTCCGACGACATGGGAAGGATTTGAAGCGGCGCTGAAAAGTAGGTTCGATTTGGTGAACGCCTCCGAAGTTGCTAAGCGTCTGCGTCATTTCCGACAGATAGGAAACGTCCAGGAGTACACACGACGGTTCTTGAGCATCTGCAACGAGATAGACGACATCACGGAAGCAGAGATGCGCGATCGCTACCTCGAAGGGTTGAAGCCGGACATAGCGGAGATTATTGCAATTCACGGATTGTCTACCTTCGAGTCAGTAGTCGCAGCAGCAGAACGCGTCGACGCAGTACGAAGCCGACGGGGTCGTGACGATCGCGATAGGGGATACAACAGACCGATCAACGACGCTCGATCGAGGGACGGACCGTCGCCCATGGAGATTGGTGCAGTTAACAGTGACGGCTCACAGCGCAACGGATTTAGGGGGAACTGTCACTACTGCAAAAAGCCGGGACACATGAAGCGGGACTGCCCACAGTTCAAGGAGCGACAGCAGGGAAACGGAAACCGCCAGTAGATAGCGGGTCGCTAGCTGGTGTGGAGGTTCCCGTACCCGCCACGTCTACCAACGTAGAGGAGACGGCCTCGCAGCAGTCATCTACGGAGAACGAGGTAGACACTGTTGACCGACCAGTCGTGCTTCTAGGGAAGCTTCGCGGAGTTCCTATTAAGATTCTCGTTGACAGCGGAGCTAGCCACTCGTTCGTTTCGTCTTCATTAGTTAGCCGTCTCCATCTTGAAGCAGATTCCTCAGTCAACTTCAAGGACGCTCGCATGATAGATGGGACGCCTCTCCACATAGGACCAGTCATTCGCAAGTTGCGCGTAGTGCTAGGACCGATCACAGTTAGGCGTGACTTCGACTCTGCGACGCTGGACGGTTACGATTTCATCTTCGGTAGAGATTGGTTGCGGACGGTTTCGACTCAGTTCGATTGGGCTCAGGGAAGCTGCAGCGTCAAGGTAGATGGCGAGTTCCGGGAGCTGCCACAGTGGAGCGATGGGGCCACATCATCCACAGCGATCATCAATGCTGTTCGTGTGCGACAGCTGGTGAAGCGAGCGGCACGGATCTTCGCGGTTTTCCTTGAGGAGGTGGAAGCTGAGGAGGGGAAAGGAGGGAGCGCAGCAGTTAGTGAGAAGGCGACTCTTCCTGCTGAGGTGAGTGCACTGTTAGCAGAGTTCGCAGACGTCTTCCCCGACGAGTTGCCCCCAGGGTTACCTCCTAGCCGAGCAGTCGACCATCGAATAGAGTTGGAGCCGGGGAGCAGGCCAGTAGCGAAGCCGCAGTGGAGGTTGAGTCCAGCGGAGACAGAGGAGATGACGCAGTAGGCTAGGCACTTTCTCGCACAGGGGTTCATACAGCCATCTAGATCGCCTTGGGCCGCACCGATCCTCTTCGCACCCAAGAAAGACGGAGGGTTACGGATGTGCATAGATTACCGCGCACTGAACGCCGTCAACGTTAAGAATCGATTCCCGGTGCCGAGAGTAGAGGATCTTCTAGATGCAGTGCAGGGCGCTAGAGTCTTTTCTAAGATCGACCTTCGTTCGGGTTACCACCAGATTCGCGTAGTTCCAGAGGACCAGCACAAGACGGCGTTTCGTACGAAGCAGGGGTTGTACGAGTTTAGGGTTCTACCGTTCGGTTTGACCAACGCCCCAGCGACCTTCCAGATGCTCATGAACACCGTCCTCTCCGAGTTCCTAGGTTCGTTCGTTGTCGTTTACCTAGACGACATCTTGATATTCTCTAAGTCAAAAGAGGAGCACGTGCAGCACTTGCAGAGGGTCTTTGAGGTCTTGCGGAGGGAGAAGCTGTACGCGAAGCAGTCGAAGTGCGAGTTCTTTCTCCCCGAGGTCGAGTTCCTAGGACACGTCGTATCCGCTAGTGGCATTAGGACCGACCCGAAGAAGATCGCAGCGGTACAGGATTGGGTAGCACCGACCTCAGTCAAGGAGTTGCAGAGCTTTCTCGGATTCGCGAATTACTACCGCCGTTTCGTTCAGGGTTACGCTTCCATCGCTAGTCCACTCACCGACCTACTTCGGAAAGGCGTAGAGTACGTTTGGGGTCCAGCGCAGCAGCAGGCGTTCGAGCAGATGAAGCAGTCGCTCACGTCTTCACCGACACTGTCGTACCCTGATCCCACTCGCCCGTACGTTGTAGTGACCGACGCTTCCGATCAGGCCATAGGAGCAGTACTTCTTCAGGACCAGGGACGCGGGTTGCAGCCGATCGCGTACGAGTCGCGTAAGCTGAGGGGAGCGGAGTTGAATTATCCCATACACGACAAGGGGGCACTCGCGATCATCCATGCGTATAAGGTGTGGAGGTGCTACCTAGAGGGGGCAGACAGTGTTATACGCACGGACCACTGCTCGCTTCGTTTCCTCAAGTCGCAGCCGCAGCTGAGTCGTCGCCAGGCTAGATGGATGGAGTTCATGGAGGGGAGTTTCCACTACAGGATAGAGTACAAGCCAGGCGTTCGCAACCCAGCAGATCCGCTCACTCGCCCTAGTTGTCAGCTCGCTAGCCTCACAGTCACTGCCGGCCATCCACTTCTCACAGCACTCTTCGAGCACGGTTACACTGTAGATCCCGACTTCACACCGCAGCCGCCCGCAGGAGCAGAGGTGCAGGGTAGTGTTTACATACGGAAGGGTACAGCACGGATTTGGGTTCCAGCCTACCGCCCTCTTCGACAGCTCCTTCTCTCAGAGGCGCACGACGTAGTTAGTGCAGGTCACTTTGGAGCAGACAAGACGGCTAAGACGCTTAGTCGCACGTACTACTGGCCAGGGCTTGCAGCAGACGTAGAGGATTACATTCGCTCGTGCGACACGTGTCAGCGTACGAAGTCCTCGCGACAGCGCAAGGCAGGACTTTTGCAGCCGATTCCACCGCCCGACCGCCCTTGGCAGGTAGTTACGATGGACTTCATCATGGCATTACCGCGCACAGTTAGGGGTCACGACGCGATCTTCGTGGTAGTGGATAAGTTTCTTGAGCAGCGCATTTCATCCCCACGCACGGTCAGGTCACAGCAGAGGAAGCCGCGACGCTGTTCGTAGATAACGTAGTCCGACTGCACGGGGTTCCAGATTCCATCATCTCAGACCGCGACCCTAGATTCACCTCGAAGTTCTGGAAGCAGCTTTTCGCACTGTTTGGGACTCGCTTAGCCATGTCGTCTGCGTACCATCCAGAGACAGACGGACAGACTGAGCGCGTGAACCAGACCTTGGAGCAGATTCTTCGTAGCATCACGATGCACGACGCAGCCGCATGGGACAAGAAGCTGAGCATGGCTGAGTTCGCCTACAACAACACGCATCATTCCGCCACAGGCATGTCACCGTTCTTTGCACTGTACGGTCAGCACCCCAATGTCCCCACTCGTGTCGATCTCACACCCACCGTCCCTCGTGCGGACAACTTCCACCAGCATCTCACTTTCATTCATGATCACGTGAGGAAGCACCTTGAGCTCGCAAATGCACGCATGGCACGCACTACCAACCGCAGTCGTCGTGAGGTGTCGTTTTCAGTTGGTGACCGTGTCCTTCTCGACAGCCGCAACCTCCGACTGCCACAGGACAGCAAGCTTCGCCCACGTTTCATTGGTCCATTCGTCATTGAGCGCGCACTTGGTCCAGTCGCATACCGCCTTCGCCTTCCCGCTCATTTCCGCATGCACCCATCATTCCACGTGTCTCTCCTTCGGCCTTACACTGATCCCAACACCACCTTCTCGGGTCGTGATCGCACTCCACTGCCGGTAGCTGTTGACACCGACGAGCCCGACTACCAGATCCAGCGCATCCTCAGGCACCGTCGCCGTCTGCAGGGAGGTGTCTCTTTCATCGACTTCTTGGTTCGTTGGCGTGGTTACGATGCAGCCGACGACAGCTGGGTTCCTTCGTCCTCGCTGTCTCCCGACAACGCTTGCCTCAAAGCGTACCTTCAGTCTGCAGGCGCCGCGGACGTCGCCTCCTTGGGAGGGGGGTAGTGTTAGAGGGGTGTTTACTGTTCATTCCGAACAGTACTTTCCAAGTCACCCTTATCCTTATCTTCTCAGATTCTCTAGTGCCACGTGGCACTCTACTTTTCTTGCACTACAATTCTTGGTCCCACAATCCACTTTCCAACCTTGTTTCTTGCATGCTATATAAACCTTGCTTGTACTTGGCATTATCAACCAATTCTCATTCAACTCTTCTTCAATTACTCAGTAACTTCTTCGCCTATTTCGCCAATAGTTCTTTCGCCAAAGTCTTCCGCCGCGTTTCATCCTCGACTTAGTCGACCCCGCTAATTCTTTAGCGGACTTAGGCCAGTGGGCCTAACAATGTGGAGGGTACGCCAGAAGTGCACAGCGGCAATCTCGGCGTCGGACCCCTCGACAGCTCGCTCTTCCGCATGCAACTCGACAAGTGAAGTCGGTGGTTAGGTAGGGGCTGTTGGA